GATGATGGATGATGTTATATGTAGTGATGATGGATGGTGTTATATGTCGTGATGATGGATGATGTTATATGTAGTGATAATGGGGGGTGTTATATGTAGTGATGATTAGACAATAAAATAATCACAGTTTAATGCTAAAAAAATATACTTTGCTGTACCGTTGTAGTGGAACTTACATACACCGTTAATGAACTAATGATGGAAGAAGAAATTTTGGGGGCTACACAGTGAGACAATGTGGAGCCTCCCGGAGGGTGGTGTCCTACCGTGGCCTAGCGAATGAGCCGCCCGGACCAAACTTGGCATGGATAGCAAGTGTCATGTGGGGATCTCAAAAAAAACTCCAACCAACCCGATTCGACACACCCAACCCGACCCGTCCCGTTAAACCACACAGAGGTTGAAAAAGATGTGGAAATGTTGTCAGGTCTCCACACGAGATTCTCGTAAACTACTTTACCGATCTGTAGTAATGTTGGATGGTGTTATATGTAGTGATGATGGATGGTGTTATATGTAGTGGTGATGGATGGTGTTATATGTAGTGATGATGGATGATGTTATATGTAGTGATGATGGATGTTGTTGTATGTAGTGGTGATGGATGGTGTTATATGTAGTGATGATGGATGATGTTATATGTAGTGATGATTGGTGGTGTTATATGTAGTGATGATTAGACAGTAAAATAATAACAGTTTAATGCTAAAAAAATATACTTTGCTGTACCGTTGTAGTGGAACTTACATACACCGTTAATGAACTATTGATGGAAGAATAAGTTTTAGGGACTGAACAGTGAGACAATGTGGAGCCTCCCAGAGGGTGGCGTCCTACCGTTGCCTAGTGGATGAGCCGCCCGGACCAAACTTGGCATGGATAGCAAGTGTCGTGTGGGGATCTCAAAAAAAACCCAACCAACCCGATCCGACACACCCAACCCGACCCGTCCCGTTAAACCACACAGAGGTTGAAAAGGGTGTGGAAATGTTGTAAAGTCCTCAACTGAGCTTACTAACATGGTCTACCCAAACATTATTCACCACTGCAAGGATCACAAGTGGCTGCGTGAACGCGCAATTCTGGCACCAAAGAATGAAACAGCGGCTGAAATCAACATGACTCTACTCAGACAGCTTCCAGGCAGTGAGACCTCATTCAAATCTGTTGATACAGTAATCGACCAGGACCAAGCAGTCAAGTACCATGCAGAATTCCTTAATTCTTTGGAGCCCGCTGGAATACCTCCTCACCACCTCACTCTCAAGATTGGAACTCCTATAATGCTCTTAAGAAATCTTGAACCTAGCGAAAGAGCCACCCGGAGGGCGGCGATTCCTCTAGTACTGATGGTGTTGGAAGATGATGGATGGTGTTATATGTAGTGATGATGGTGGTGTTATGTGAGCGGTTGATGGGTGGTGTTATATGTAGTGTTGATGGGTGGGTTGATGGATGGTGTTATGGCGTAGCGTGATGGATGGTGTTATAATGAGTGATGATGGCTGGTGTTATATGCAGTGATGGGGTGGTGTTATATGGGTGTTGATGGGTGGTGTTATATGTAGTGCGTTGATGGGTGGTGTTATATGTAGTGATGATGGATGGTGTTATATGAGTGATGATGGATGTTGTTATATGTAGTGATGATGGATGGTATTATATGTAGTGATGATGATGGTGTTATATGTAGTAATGATGGATGGTGTTATATGTAGTGTTGATGGATGTTATAGGTAGTGTTGATGGATGGTGTTATATGTAGTGATGATGGATGGTGTTATATGTAGTGTTGATGGATGGTGTTATATGTAGTGTTGATGGATGGTGTTATATGTAGATGATGGATGGTGTTATATGTAGTGTTGATGGATGGTGTTATATGTAGTGTTGATGGATGGTGTTATATGTAGTGTTGATGGTTGGTGTTATATGTAGTGATGATGGATGGTGTTATATGTAGTGTTGATGGATGGTGTTATATGTAGTGTTGATGGATGGTATATATGTAGTGATGATGGATGGTGTTATATGTAGTGTTGATGATGTATAATGGATGGTGTTATATGAAATAGTTTATTAGTAATGATGGATGTGTTATATATAGAATATGAAAAGTATCACTTGTTGTTACAACATGAATAAGAAATGTGAATATACTGCAGCAAAGAAGCAAAGGAAAAATTCATGGGACTGTGCTGTTTGCGGGAAAATACGACTGCCAAATTTGGAAAACAACCACAACCATTGAAGACTCTTTAAGGGGAACAATACCAGAGTCAAAACACTTTGAAAAATATACGGAAGTACACCATTCTTCCAGATACTCATCCTTGAGCTATTAGAGAAGTTCGAGACACGGATACATGCCAGCATTCAAAAGTCCAGGTCAAGTCTATCACAGCATGATCTCTACTACTGGAAGATGAGCAGGCAAAGCCCCCCATTTCATGGGGAGATGAAAAGCAGACTACTATCAGGTGTGGCAATATTCAAGGTGCAGACATGACTGTTTTATCTTATTCAAGAAATGCTGCACGAAGCAACACGTATGTGTATAGTCATTTAAAATGTCAACATGCTTGGACGAGTACAAAGTCAGGATCAAAGCAGCATCTTAATGCACTACAGTAAGACAATGTGAGCCTCAGAGGGTATGCCTTCACATGGTTTAAGCGAAGAGCCGAGGCAAGGATTCGCTAGTATTAATTTAATAAAATAAATACAAAGTATACCAGGAAATAATAATAATAATATATATATAAATAAATATATACAAAATTTTAAAAACCAATGTGAGAAATGACAGTATGTATGTTAGTTGTTAATAGTAAGAGAAATACTGAGACTCTGCAATTATGTGTAAATGAGGCAGAAAGTCAGATCATCACTGACTAGTCACATATAGCAGCAGGGGCTCACCATAGAAAACACACATGCTTCCACATTTCCCAGGTAGTACCTGTTTGGGGTGGGTGTTGGGGGTGGTGGTGGGTGTGTTGGTGGGTAGGTGGGTAGGTGGGTGGTGGGTAGGGGTGGTGGGTGGTAGGGCAGTGGTGGGTGGTGGGTAGGGGTGGTAGGGGTGGTGGTGTTGGTGAGAGGTAGACCCAGAAGTGAGGGAGAGACCAAGAAGGAGACAATACAAGGAAGTGGTGGCGTGGCAGTATACTGTACCTGACACCATAACACCATAAATGAGAAGCAGAGAGTACAGAGAGACAGCACAGCAGAGCACAGCAGAGCAGAGCACAGAGTGAGAGCACAGCAGAGCACAGCAGAGCAGAGCACAGAGGAGTACAGAGCAGAGCAGAGGCACACAGCACAGGTACAGCACACAGAGCAGAGTACAGCAGCAGAGTAAGCACAGAGAGTAGAGCACAGCAAGCACAGCACAGTAGGGCACAGCACACACAGCACAGCAGACACAGCACAACAGAGACAGAGCAGAGAGCACAGAGGAGCAGCACAGAGCACAGCACAGCAGAGCACAGCACAGAGAGAGCAAGCACAGCAGAGAGGGCACAGCAGGCACAGCACAACAGAGCAGAGCACAGCAGAGCACAGAGAGCACAGAGAGCACAGCACAGGGGACAGCACAGAGTACAGCAGAAGTACAGCACAGTAGGCACAGCACACACAGTACAGCACAACAGAGAGCAGCAGAGCACAGCAGGAGTACAGCACAGAAGAGCTACAGCACATAAGAGCAGAGCACACAGTACAGAGCACAGCACAGTAGAGCACAGTACAGAGAGAGGGTACAGTAGAGTACAGGTGCAGAGTAGAGTCACACAGAGTAGAGTAGAGACACAGCAGAGCACACACAGAAGAGAACAGCAGGCAAGAGTACAGTACAGAGCAGCTAGGTAGAGCACAGCACTGAGAGAGTACAGCAGAGCACAGCACAGAGATATAGCACAGCAGAGTAGAGTAGATACAGAGTACGTAGAGTACAGTAGAGAGAGGAGAGTAGAGTAGAGTAGAGTAGAGTTCAGTAGAGTAGAGAGAGTAGAGAGAGTAGAGTAGAGGAGAGGAGAGAGAGTAGAGGCAGAGTAGAGTACAGAGTAGAGAGTAGAGAGAGGAGAGAGAGGCAGTAGAGAGAGCAAAGGAGAGAGTACAGTAGAGGATAGAGAGAGGAGAGAGAGAGAGAGAGTAGAGTGCAGAGGAGATAGAGTAGAGACAGTAGAGAGTAGAGAGAGTAGGGAGAGAGTACAGTAGAGGAGAGTAGAGAGAGGTAGAGAGAGAGGGAGAGAGGCAGTAGAGTAGAGAGAGGAGTAGAGTGGAGTAGAGTAGAGTGCAGTAGAGTAGAGTACAGTAGAGTAGAGTAGAGGGAGAGTAGAGGGAGAGGAGAGAGAGTAGAGTAGAGAGAGAGAGGAGAATGCAGAGGAGAGAGAGAGAGAGAGGAGTAGAGGAGAGAGAGTGCAGTAGAGTAGAGTAGAGAGGAGAGAGTAGAGTGCAGTAGAGTAGAGAGTAGAGTAGAGAGAGGGAGCAGAGCAGAGTACAGAGAGAGTAGAGAGTACAGGAGAGAGCACAGAGAGAGAGCACAGTAGAGTAGAGAGAGGAGAGGAGAGAGAGAGAGAGTGAGAGAGAGAGTAGAGAGAGGAGAGTAGAGGCAGAGAGAGCACAGTAGAGTAGCACAGTAGAGTAGAGTACAGAGAGAGTAGAGGAGAGTAGAGTGCAGTAGAGTAGAGTAGAGTGCAGTAGAGTAGAGTGCAGTAGAGTAGAGTACAGTAGAGTAGAGTAGAGTACAGTAGAGTAGAGTGCAGTAGAGTAGAGTAGAGTACAGTAGAGTAGAGTAGAGTAGAGTAGAGTACAGTAGAGTAGAGTACAGTAGAGGAGAGGAGAGGAGAGTAGAGTGCAGTAGAGTAGAGTGCAGTAGAGTAGAGTACAGTAGAGTAGAGTAGAGTAGAGTACAGTACAGTAGAGTAGAGTACCCCATGTAGCAGGAAAGACCTTAAAAGAGTGAGAACAACAAAAACATTGTAAAGAACTTTACATACTTCTTCCGTCTGGTTTTGGGGGGAAAGCTGCCTCGGCTCCCAGCATATTCTTCAACGAGGAATCCCAACTCAACACCAAAGGGTGACAAACCTCGTACCTAAAGAAGAGAGAAAAACTATTGAAGTACCAAACTGTAGTGAAGGACAAGAAGACAACTGACCTGCAAGATATACCAACAACACCAATAGTAAACTCCACACACACTCCGTCCCCAGCCTTCATGGGGTGAGGACGTCGGCGCTCCCTGTGGTCTCTTGACCATGAATACAGCTGCCAGCTCAGTCTGTCGGGCCTTGACTTTCCCCATTTCCTCCTCCCCATCTGGATGTATCAACATCCTCTCACCAACAGTACAGTGCAAAGATTGACCATCACCCACAAGTGATAAACAAAAGTGACAATTTCAACTCGAAAGAAAGAAACAACTGTTAGAGCGACAATCAGTGCTTAGCGGTCAATGTTGACCTGATTGGACCAGACACACTATGTCCACTGTACACTCGCCACCACCAACACTGGATAAAAAGCAAAGAAAGACTCCTAACTATACCAGGAGAGAAATGAGGACTCCCTACTCCACCCAGGTGAGGAGCTATGAATTCCTAATTTCATCACATGAGGAACAAGAATCCTCTCCAACACCCTGTTTGAGCTGAAGGACCTACCCGACCACGTGGTACATCTGCAGCTGTAGTGAGGTAGTGGATTAACCCCCAGGTTCAACTGCCTTCAAGACAGTGGGAAGGACTTTGTTTAAGCCAACATCAAGTCATAAGAATGTCTACAGACCAGCTCCCTCAGTACGTGATCTATAGTTAATCTATATGTTGATTATATTTTTGTATTGAAAGCTTTAGTCAATCAAGTGACCCACTCCCTGACCTCACCATATAACTTATCATCTCTGTCCATTGTATATTTTCAGCCTTCGGGCTGCCATGTTATCTTAATAAACCATTAATTATTATTATTACACACATACACAGACAAGCACACAAGCGCACGCACGCACACACACACACACACACACACACTGCTTTGCTGTCACTCGGAATTGAGTATGACGATCATCCAGCTATGATACAATGATACGAGTTATTAGGGATGTCTTCTAGGTCGGTGAGTTTTAGGGTAACTGAAGAGGCTGATAAAGGACCCGCAGCGTCGTTCACATTCGTTGCACATGTGGAGGGCTCCATCTACTGCGGGAGGGGCGGTGGCGCTTGTCTGCCTCGGTTTGCAGTCGGGCTAACTCGAAAGTATTGACACCTTCTCCTCCAAGATTTACGGTGTGGAGTGATCGTCTCCCATGTGATGGGGTCGATTTGGCACTTTTTCAGGTTTGTCTTAAGACTATCCTTATACCTTTTCAGTTGCCCACAAGCATTACGTTTTCTATTTGTTAGGTGACTATAAAGTAACTGCTTTGGCAGTCTACTGTCGTCCATGCAGGTAACATGGCCAGTCCAACGTAGTTGTTCATGGATAATGGTAGCTTCGATGCTCTTATAGTTGGTGTCAGCAACAATACTGGTATTTGTTCTCTTGTCTTCCCAGTGAACTCAGAGGATGGAACGTAGACTACGTTGGTGAAAGTTTTCAAGTGCCTTGAGGTGACTCCTGTATGTGACCCATGTCTCACTGCCATATAGCAGGGTGGGGAGGACCAATGCTTGATATACGTGCAGCTTTGTAGATAATTTCAGCTCCCTACAGCTAAAGACACGGGTACGGAGTCTGCCAAAGGTTTGAGATGCACATCTGATCCGATGTTGAATCTTTTCATCAAAGTCTGCAATGGTGGACAGGTGGGAGCCAAAGTACTGGAAGTGGGTAAACATATAGGGGTTAGTACCATGAAGCTGGATGGATGGTGGTGTGGGTAAACCAGGGGCAGTGTGAGCGACGAAGGTGAGGCTGTCTGCATACTGAAGTTAAGTAATGGAAGCTGCCGACACCTTTGTTCCAGCCTGGAGTCGTCTTGTTTTGAAAAGTCCTTCATCCGGTACTGGATGTCCACCCCGCCGGCTAAATTTGCACTGGCACGAGTAAGGAAGGCAGCCAAGAAAATGGAAGAGAGTTGGTGCCAGTACACATCCTTGTTTTACCCCCATTTGGATGGGTGTAACAGGACCATGCATTTAGGGTGAAAGTCCCGCCAAAAAGCCTAAGTATTTCCCGCCAAGCGTTAGCCAACCGCAGTGACTTGCGAGTGTGAATGCCTTAGGCCTGAACCAATAAGGAGAGCCTGGGAGATGTGACATCATGACCATGTGGCATTCTGTAAACCACCTGTGTCTAAGACAGAGTCTGGCAAGAAATGGTGAGGTGTAGATGTGAGAGTTCTGCTCTTCCCACATGGTGGGATATACTGTACAATATATATAAACGAGTACCCTTCAGGTTTCATCCGTTTCACAAAATGTATTGTGATTCATGTAATCCCTGTTTAACTAGCTAGGAAGATAGGTTCATTGATTTAAAGTGTAACTGTCACACCCTAATAGAAAGTATTCAATAACCATTACTAAGAGTCCTAATTCATCCTCCCTTATTGAGAAAGGTTGATTCGTTATAATTGTCTTGGTGGTATGCTGATACAGTGAGTCCTGAGTAATAACATAACTATTTCATATTTCCCTCTGTTTAAGTTGTTAGTCCTATTCCCCAACTATCAGCCTTTCCCTTAGTCTACCCTCATATAAGATTACCCTGTGGTGGGGGGAGTGACCACAGGCAAACCCCCACCTCCCCTCAACCATAAACAAGTCTCTCTCTTTAGGTCCACTAGCCTTCCTCCCCTCACATTCGTTAACCCCCCCTACCCCTAACCTCCTCCATCTCACGAGTATACAGAGAAAAGAAAGGGGGAAATACAGAAAATAAAGAAATAAATAAAGAGTTAAAAAGAGAAGAAATAAATCAATAAAATAATAAGAGGTAAATAAAAAGAACTTATTGTTACATAGTGACAGCGGTTCATGCCATTGTAGAGTTGCCTCGCAATGGCAATGAATTTTGGTGGACTGCCAAAATGGCTGAGGGTCCACCAGAGGGCTTCCCTGTTGACCGCGTCGAAGGCCTTCGTCAGGTCGATGAAAGCCATGTACAGGTCACGATGCTGTTCTCTGCACTTTTCCTGTATCTGGCAGGCAGCAAAAAACATGTCAGTGGTGCCATGTGTTGGTCTAAAACCACATTGAAATTCTGCGAGGAAGTTTTTTGCCTCAGGAAGAATTCTGTTTACGAGGACTTGGGCAATAATCTTGCCAGCAACGGACAGCAACGAGATCCCACGGTAGTTGCCACAGTCTGACCAATCTCCTTTGTTCTTATAAATATTGACGATGGAGGCGTCTTTAAGAGCTTGGGGGATTTCCTCCCTTTCACATATATTCTCCAGGAGAGAATGGAGGCGGTTGGTAAGCAGAGGTCCTCCTGCTTTATACACCTCGGCCGGGATTCCAACAGGCCCTGAGGCTTCTCCTGCACCAGAGCCACATAAACTAACTCACCTTCTCCTGCACCAGAGCCACATAAACTAGCGCACCTTCTGCACCAGAGCCACATAAACTAACCCACCTTCTCCTGCACCAGAGCCACATAAACTAACCCACCTTCTCCTGTACCAGAGCCACATAAACTAACCCACCTTCTCCTGTACCAGAGCCATATAAACTAACTCGCCTTCTCCTGCAAAAGAGCCATATAAACTAACTCACCTTCTCCTGCACCAGAGCCATATAAACTAACTCACCTTCTGCCTGCACCAGAGCCATAAACTAACTCACCTTCTGCACCAGAGCCACATAAACTAACTCACCTTCTCAATATAACCAACCCACCTTCTCCTGCACCAGAGCCACATAAACTAACCCACCTTCTCCTGCACCAGAGCCACATAAACTAACCCACCTTCTCCTGCACCAGAGCCACATAAACTAACCCACCTTCTCCTGCACCAGAGCCACATAAACTAACTCACCTTCTCCTGCACCAGAGCCACATAAACTAACTCACCTTCTCCTGCACCAGAGCCACATAAACTAACTCACCTTCTCCTGCACCAGAGCCACATAAACTAACTCACCTTCTCCTGCACCAGAGCCACATAAACTAACTCACCTTCTCCTGCACCAGAGCCATATAAACTAACTCACCTTCTCCTGCACCAAAGCCACATAAACTAACTCACCTTCTCTGCAGAAACCCACCTTCTCCTGCACCAGAGCCATATAAACTAACTCACTTTCTCCTGCACCAGAAGCCACATAAACTAACCCACCTTCTCCTGCACCAGAGCCATATAAACTAACCCCACCTTCTCCTGCAGAGCTATAAACTAACTCACCTTCTGCCCAGAGCCACATAAACTAACTCACCTTCCAGGGCCCATATAAACTAACCCACCTTTCTCCTGCACCAGAGCCACATAAACTAACTCCGCCTTCTCCTGCACCAGAGCCACAAAACCTCCTGCACCAGCACATAAACTAACCCACCTTCTCCTGCACCAGAGCCACATAAACTAACCCACCTTCTCCTGCACCAGAGCCACATAAACTAACTCACTCCTGCACCAGAGCCACATAAACTAACTCACCTTCTCCTGCACCAGAGCCACATAAACTAGCGCACCTTCTGCACCAGAGCCACATAAACTAACCCACCTTCTCCTGCACCAGAGCCACATAAACTAACCCACCTTCTCCTGTACCAGAGCCACATAAACTAACCCACCTTCTCCTGTACCAGAGCCATATAAACTAACTCGCCTTCTCCTGCAAAAGAGCCATATAAACTAACTAAACTAACCCACCTTCTCCTACACCAGAGCCACATAAACTAACCCACCTTCTCCTGCACTAGAGCCACATAAACTAACTCACCTTCTCCTGCACCAGAGCCACATAAACTAACTCACCTTCTCCTGCACCAGAGCCACATAAACTAACCCACCTTCTCCTGCACCAGAGCCACATAAACTAACCCACCTTCTCCTGCACCAGAGCCACATAAACTAACCCACCTTCTCCTGCACCAGAGCCACATAAACTAACTCACCTTCTCCTGCACCAGAGCCACATAAACTAACTCACCTTCTCCTGCACCAGAGCCACATAAACTAACTCACCTTCTCCTGCACCAGAGCCACATAAACTAACTCACCTTCTCCTGCACCAGAGCCACATATGGCAGGATAAAGATCACATCACGTTTCATGAGGAGTAAACATCTCAACATGAGTATCTCGGCGACCAGCGTCTTGCCACCACTTGTAGGTATACAGATCAACAGGTTCCTTGACTTGCTCCCTTCATTTATACACTCTTCTTGCCAATCTGTAGTGAAAACATCATGTTAATATTTTGTATGTAAACAGTTAATGTTTGTGTTTATATCCATCATCATCGGGATTAACTGGTGGCTTGGTGTCGCCTCTAGTCTCAAAAAAAATAAGTCAGACAGGACAAAATGTGAACCACATGATAAAAACAAAAGAAGAAAAATATACATTAAAAAAATATTGTGAATTAACAACAAATTACCTTAGTCGAGTTTTGGTTTATATGTTGTTCAATTTTACCTTCTTTTGTGTTCATCATGTACAGGTGTGTTCATTATGTACAGGTGTGTTCATTATGTACAGCTGTGTGTTCATTATGTTCAGGTGTGTTCATTATGTTCAGGTGTGTTCATTATGTACAGGTGTGTGTTCATTATGTACAGGTGTGTGTTCATTATGTACAGGTGTGTTCATTATGTACAGGAGTGTGTTCATTATGCACAGGTGTGTTCATTATGTACAAATGTGTGTTCAGTATGTACAGGTAATGTACAGGTGTGTTCATTATGTACAGTTGTTTTCATTATGTACAGGTGTGTTCATTATGTACAGTTGTGTTCATTATGCACAGGTGTGTGTTCACTATGTACAGGTGTGTTCACTATGTACAGGTGTGTGTTCACCATACACAGGTGTGTGTTCACTATGTACAGGTGTGTTCATTATGTACAGGTGTGTGTTCATTATGTACAGTTGTGTTCATTATGTACAGGTGTGTTCATTTTATGAATAAGTATGTACAGTGTTCACTATGTACAGGTGTGTTCATTATGTACAGGTGTGTTCATTATGTACATGTGTTCCATTATGTACAGATGTGTGTTCAGTATGTACAGGTAATGTACAGGTGTGTGTTCATTATGTACAGTTGTTTTTATGTACAGGTGTGTTCATCAGGTGTATTATGTACAGGTGTGTTCATTATGTACAGGTGTGTTCATTATGTACAGGTGTGTGTGTATGTACAGGTAATGTACAGGTGTGTTCATTATAGTGTGTGTTCATTATGTACAGGTGTGTTCATTATGTACAGGGTGTGTTCATTATGTACAGGTGTGTTCACTATGTACAGGTGTGTTGTTCAGGTGTGTCATTATGTACAGGTGTGTTCATTATGCACAGGTGTGTTCACCATGTACAGGTGTGTGTTCAGTATGTACAGGTAATGTACAGGTGTGTTCATTATGTACAGTTGTTTTCATTATGTACAGGTGTGTTCATTATGTACAGTTGTGTTCATTATGCACAGGTGTGTGTTCACTATGTACAGGTGTGTTCACTATGTACAGGTGTGTGTTCACCATACACAGGTGTGTGTTCACTATGTACAGGTGTGTTCATTATGTACAGGTGTGTGTTCATTATGTACAGTTGTGTTCATTATGTACAGGTGTGTTCATTATATACAGGTGTATGTTCATTATGTACAGGTGTGTGTTGTACTTGGCACCCCCCCTAGGGTGGAGTACTTAGCCCCACTTTGTTCAATGTTCTTATGAATGTATTATTAAAGTTAGTCCCAGACAGCCCCAGCAATATTACTGTTAGCTATACGGATGACATTCTTACACATACTAAAACTCATCGTGAAATACAAACCACCCTGAACCATGTGCAGTCCCAGACGAAAGTTCTCACTACAGTCAAGGTGGATGGTGCAAAGTCCACCCACCCTTAATGGACGACGTGTCTGCTGTCCAGCCATTGCCTCCCTCCCTACACACACACACACAAAACAAGCAGTCTCACAGTTACATCATCAAGCTCTGATACTTCCAATTCTCAATAAGGACTTGGGAAGGATTTCTTTGTTTGGTTAATAAATTCACAAAACAATTTACTCATTCAAGTTTTACATTATTTGACATACAATGATATCCTTGTTAGCCGGAACAATTGGTGCAGAGCACTTCCGGGGATGAGAGATTTCCAGCTAACCAGACGACTTTCTCAAACTCGGAAAAATTCCTTATTCCAGTAATATTTTCCGGTTACTGGGAAAAGTTTCCGAGTGTCTAAACTAAACACCTTGCACACACAGACACTAGTCCACTTCCCCAGAATGTTTCTGGGTGCTGGGATGTTTTCCTCGAGTCTAAACTACCGGAGTCCATAAATGCAGTTCCAAGTAATTTAGAAACTCCATTTCTTTACTATAATAATCCAGAATAGTTCATCTAAAAGTTTGATGAAATAAATATACAGTATTTGAAATTTAAAATTCTATATGATATGGGCGTGAAAGTAACTGTGTGTTACAGCAAAGACTGGTATTTTCCACACCGTGCTTGTGAGTGGTGACGCCAGCATCACTAGTATAAACAGTCGCAGCTTGGTGGGCTGTTTGTTTTCACGCACCTGAACAGGAGAAAAACTCTCTCAGGTTTCTTACGGCATTTTTGCATCCCTATTCAACATGAGCAAGAGAGCAAGTGATGGTAGTGCTGGTTCAAAAGCTAAAAGAAAGTGTATAAGCTTAGCCGAGAAATTAAATGTGTTAAAACGATATGAAAAAGGTGAGAGGTCTGTGGATATTATATGGAGCAAGCAATGAACATATTTTCTGAAGTGGATCCATTAACAGAACAAAGCCGTAAAATTTAAATAAACGCAATTGACCTCTACATAAAGATGTACAATGGAAAAAGAAAGCAGCTGTGCAAGGTTCTTTCGAGAGCTTTACGTATTATTCGAAGGCCTAACCATCAAATTCAGCTTCAGTAATAACTACAGTTTCAGTAACAGTTTCAGCAACAGCTTTATGGAAAGCTTCAGCCAGAGTTGAACCTGATGACTTCGTCATCTGAGTAAAAACTCACACAACATCATTGGCTGTCCTTATGTTTTAGACTTTACCGCCATTGGTGAGAAGAATTTTTGTTTTACATTAGTAAGTATTATTCAAAACATATATGAACAGTAATAAGTATTGCTTTCATTTTCATATATAGAGAAATGACGATATGTTTTCACATGTACGCAATTACATACGTTGGCGTTCCCAATCCGTCTCGCATTTTTCTTTACCATAAGTGGTTAGCTACTTCTAGTGTTCCATTTATTAATATTAAATAACATTACTTAAAACATATACCCTGTATATTCCTTTTTTACAAAAATTTTACTACAGCAACAACCAGGGTCTTATTTTCTGAAGTTTCTTATGTGCAGTCAACCCTCGCTTTACGCGGTCCCACTTTACGCGTTTCCACGTTTGCGCGGTACCCTGCCGAACACGGAATGCTCACTTTCCGCGGTGTGTGTACCCTTTTACGCGGAGAGCGGCGCGAGCAGGGTGCTCACAAGGTCGCCCAGTCATAAAAACATTACCGAGTTCTTCACCCGCCACCCACCACAGCCGGCCCAAGTCAGTGATAGTGAGGATATGGACTTATATGGACTTTGAGGGGTTTGACAAAGAGGCCCTACAAGCCTCTGTGGTGGATAGTGATACAATTGATACAAGTGCAGGTGAGGGCCAATAATCTGCCCTCTGCCTCGGAACCAACCCCCCATCCCCGTGTGCCCAGCCATCTTTTCTACTAATGTAAGTGTTAAAAAACCTAATATTATTGATATTTCTCTTAATTATTAATTGTGTGTGCATACCATCATAAAATTAAGAAGTTATTTTTACTACAATGTAGGTATTGTGTCTGAAAAAGTGGAGTTTGGGGGTCGGCCCGGTCTCTATTTCAATTAATCCCATATGTTATGTTGTTCACTTTACGCATTTCTCACTTTACGCGGGCCGCCGTGGGTTCAATTGACCGCGTAAAGTGAGGGTTCACTGTAGAACCATTGTCACGAACTCACGGGAGTAAACACTAACGAAAACAATGCCGTTTCATCTCCTCTTGTGTGTTTTAATAATCTACGTATTATTCATGAATTGCATTGTTCATTTCACATATACAGCTATAAACATTAATTCAAACAATTACATATTCAGTAATAAACAATAATGAATCTTTTGTACATATTCTTAAGATAAATAACTATATTTCCTTGAGTGCGCACATATACGTTGGCATTCCACTATCACTCTCTTTTTATTTCTTTAACATCAGTGGTTACCTTTACTGTACATTAAATAACATTAAATAAAAAATACATATTTTTTTACATTAATCTTACTACAGCAACAACCAGGGTCTTGTTTTCTTCAGATTCAGATGGATAACACCTACCTCCACCTGACATTCTGTCATGTCAGGTCAGGTACCCCCCCCCCCCCAAATACTTCAGCTTTTATCTTTATTCAAGACATTTTAAGAAAATTCTCTAGATTTTCAACCTCGGAAAATTTGTTCCCAAAGCCGGAATTTGTTGAAAATTCCGGCTTTGGGAATGATTTTCCAAGCAAATTTCATTTCCGGCTAACGGAGATATTACTGTATTCACGTAACTCATCTTTCAGCATTGACAGAACATAATCACAAAAAATATTACCAGTAATCCACCCCTTGTTATTTGAGTAGTAGTGAACTGGTAAGAGATGTTTAGAATAACCCTTGAGAGCACGTGGGTTTGTGGAGTGGTACACCATCACTGGTTTTAATTTGCAGTCACCTTCGGCATTACCTCCTAACAATAGGGTGCTGTTTTTTCCTCACGAGAGATATACATTCGTGTTGACATTCACTTCCAAATAGAGCAGTTTCATCCAGATTGAACATCTACTTTGCAGAGTAGCCTCCCTCCTCAATAATACCCTTCCGAGTCCCGACGAACTGCTCGGCAGTCACGGCATTGGCAGATGTAGCCTCCCCACTTATCTTGATGTTGTGATACCGGTGCCTTCCCTTGAAATTAGCGAACCAACCATAACTAGCACTGAATGCTTTCACTGGGCGTTCTTCACCCTTTTGTAGTTCTTCATATATTGCTCGCACTTTTGCCTGGACCAGCAACATGCTGACTGGTACGTTGCGCTGATTTTGATCTTCAATCCACGTACTCAGCATCCTTTCCATGAGCTCCATTATAGAACTACATGTATGAGCATAAGAGGTTTTTGTTGCACTTGCAGATGTCCCTGATTGAGCACTGCTCTTTATCTTCTCAGCATTGTTGAGAATGGTACGAACAGTGCTAACCTAACCTAACCTAACCTAGCACGCGGCCAACCTCTGACACAAGTTCTCCTCTCTGAAAGTGGGTGATCATATCTAATTTCACGTCCATCGCGATTGTTTTTTGTGTCTATTTAGCTTTAGGATCTCCAGAAGAGGCAGATGGACATTTTCCAGACATGTTCGATGGGGAAAACAACGTTTAACACTAAAAAGATATGTGATGAACACACAAAGCAAATGAACGCACAGAGCAAAAGTAGTGCAGCTGTGAACTGAGAAACCGATATGCGGGAAGCTTGCTGGACGTTGTCACAGTTGTTATACAGAATACTTCATTATCATCTTTATCTTCATCATTAGTAGTAATAATCTTTATTACAGGTTGTACCTCTCTAGTCTGACAACCTCAGGACCTGACCAGTGCCAGACCATGGAAATTCACCCTCGAAACACCCTACATAAAGCATAAAAACATAAGATAGGAAATAAATAAATAAGAAAAAGTAATACGGTTAAAATTCTATTTCATTTATCTTTAATGTTACCATAATTCTGCTTCCAAAGTGAAGTGATGGTACTGTAACTAAAATTACATTGGAGTTACATCAGGGATGTTGGCTATTGGGTGAACTAAAATTGTTCCGGACCACGGGAGTTTCCGGACGACAGACTGCCGGACTAGAGAGGTACAACCTGCACAGTGGTCCCTCGGTTAACGAACACAATCCGTTCCAGCAGGTTATTCGTTAACCGAAAAATTCGTTAACCAAAACCATTGTTTCAATGGGTTTTTGGGTAAATGGTTCCAGCTCACCGAAAATTTCCTAAATTCAACAAAAATGGTAGAAAAGTTCACTTACTTTGAGGTGTGTATGTAGAAGGCTCCTGGATGATGATGATGATGGGAATTAGAATGGGGGTGGAGGAGAAGGAAAAAGAGAAGGCATTGGGGTGGAAGAGAAGTCACCCCATGGCACCATTTCACCCATAAAATTTTAGTTCTCTTGGTGTATTTCAAGATTATTTTCTTTAAATCAACACTGCACTGCATTATATATTGTCAATATGTAAAATATATTTCAAAATGACCAATAATTTGCTTGGAAACAGAAAAAAAGCGTTTAGTTGAAGAGAGTCTCAAGCAAGATGTTACCTCCACTGAAAACAGAGAGAGACTGTTTGCTGTGTTAAGAGGCTGGATGCCGCGCATTAAACTAGTCACTTTACCTTCAATTATTTCAATAATTGTTAAAATGACTAAAAAATTTAAGCCCTAGAACCGATTAATGTATTGGCGGACTAATACTAAAGCTGGTTGACCGGCCAGTGCAAGCGAAAACATGTTGAGGTCGGTTCGTAAGAAATTCGTTAACCGAATTTTTGTTCGTTAACCGAATTTAAGAATCTTATGGGAGGCAGTTCGTTAACCAAAATTTCGTTAACCGAAGCGTTCGTTAACCGAGGGACCACTGTATTACGTTATTATAATAACAATTATTATTATTATTAAAATTATTGATGTTGATATGACTGTGACTTTATAGTAATAACTTACCAGGCATCACGCATGACTCCACTGCCAGGCAAATACACGGCAAATTAAAAATAACTTGAACGCGTTATTTAAAAAATAGGTGCACATAAATTAGGTTTTGGTATAAATTAAACAATCGCGTTATTCCAAAAACGATTAAATCAAACGCGTGTAAAACACGAGGTGGCTGTACTCAGATTCGTCTCATGTCTGAGGGAAAACTGAAGCGGCACCAACGCCGAACCTACAAACAACTACAAGCAAGAGTCTTCTCCGCATGGAAAGATTATGAAAATGGTGGGCAAAGTGCCCTGCAACTTCTCTCTGCAATATCCAGACTGTATGGACAATAAGAGTACACTGTATATGTAAAGGATTTTAAATCCATGTGCTTAAAATAAAGTTATAATAAAAAAGATTAACGAAATGGACTGAGATCACCGCTGTAACTGGGCCGAGTTCACTGGACGGAAGTCACCAAGGGCCGACTTCACTTGTATCCGTGTGACTACATATTATTATTCATTTATACTGTATAAGGTGCATTAATAAACATTATTTAAATATAGTTTGCACTTTTTCATTAATTGTATTGTTTAGGGGGAAAAGAAGGTAAAAAGCCACACCAAAGATATGAAAAGGTCACACTTGGGATCGCATCTCATTATTATTGCTTTATTTTAATGGTAATCAATGATTCGCGATACGATGATTCATCTTACATTGCAATATTGGAGGACACATTACCGTCGTTATTCAAGGCTTTACTGTATGTAGACGTTATTCACCGAAGCAATATTTAAGGGTTGGCACTTGACATAAGAGGCGCTCAGCATTAGAAGGGGGTGAAGCGTCACCCCGGGCAAAATTAATTTTTTATGTACAGTGAACCCTCGCTTTACGCGGTCAATTGAACCCATGGAGGCCCGCGTAAAGCGAGAAACGCGTAAAGTGAACAAAATAACATATGGGATTAATTGAAATAGAGACTACGCCGACACCCAAACTCCACTTTTTCCCGACACAATACGTACGTTTTAGTAAAAATAACATCTTAACTTTATGATGGTATGCACACACACATAATATAGAAGAGAACAATCAATAAGAGAATAATATACTGTAGGTTAGGTTAGAAAAAATCAAGGTTAGGTTTAACACTTACGTTAGTAGAAGAAATGGGTCAGCGTACTGGAATGGAAGCTGGTTCTGAGGCAGAGGACAGGCTACTGGCCCTCAGGTGAGTCTTCATCACTGTCATCCACACTTATCAGGGCCTCCCTGACAAATCCCTCAAAGTCACCATCACTGTCTCTGTCACTATCACTGGCTTGGGCTGGCTGTGGTGGGTTGCGGGTGAAGAACTCAGTAATGCTTTCTTGACGGCTAGTGTTGATGTTGTCGTGATACACCGGTATGTAGGGCTCCATAGTCTGCAACAGCTGGGTAGTGAAGACCTCATACTGGTTATCGTCAGGGTAGTCAAAAAGGAGGAGCTTCAGTTTCTCTACACACTCGATGGCACCCCTTACATTATTATGCGATAACTTGCGTTCTTCTTGGGATGACGCACCACCTGCCTCTTCACTGACGTCATCATCATTTAACATCTCGTCGGCAGTCACATCAGGATCCCTTATCACCTCCATAATGTCGTCGTTGGTGGTCTCGGAGAAGCCTTTAGCTGTAACACTCTGCGCAGCTTCTCTGGCAAGGTCCACTGCTACTGCAACAGTCTGAACCTCACCAGTCACAGATTGACTCTGCCTCCCACCTGGAATACCTTGCAACACATGTCTCCATGCGTGACGAACCGTTGCTACAGACAGCTGATCCCATGCCTCCACCAAGAAGTCCACAGTTTTCTTGACGTTGAATTTTCTCCAAAATTGTTTCACAAGTACTTCTTGCTCTGCCAACTGTTGTTCCTCGTCCTCTTCGCTCTTGCTATCGGTGTCACCCAGGTTACGCAACTGATCCTCGGTGTTGGTATATTCGTTCAGGAGCTTAAACTTCTTTGCAGAGAATGCAGCTTTCACATTACAGATCAATTCTTGGTTCATGGGCTGTATTAATGACGTAGTGTTGGGAGGAAGGAAGACCACTTTTACGTTGGGGTGACGACCAAACAGTAGGGGCGAAATTTGAGAAGTTACTATACGACATTTAACCCTTCAATATGTCTTCAAAGAGACCATGACACAGAGAAAGTGGTGCTAGTGCTTCCAGGCATAAGCACAAGTCACTATCTATCCAGGAAAAGGGTGAATTTCCATGGTCCGGCAATTTCCATGGTCCGGCACCGGTCAGGTCCCGAGGTTGCCGGACTAGAGAGGTACAACCTGTACCTGTATACAGTACTTTGTATGTATACTTCTTCTGTGAGTTGGAACCAATTACCCAATAGACCATTGAAATAATAGATTCAGTTAACAAAATTTTCGGTTAACAACCGACCCTGTGGAACGAATTGTGTTCGTTAATAGAGGGACCACTCTGTTTATTTTTTAGATTACATTTAAGTACTGTATTGTGCAATTTTCAACTTTTATTTTATGGGGTGATTTAGGATATTTTTAGGAGTGTTTCTGACTTTATAATGTGGTTTTGGGCTTTATGTGAGGTCCCAGGAAAAAAACCCCAATTAAGTTGTGAGTCTACTGTAAATAAATTTATCGCTATATACATGAGAATAATTTTGGTCACCGCGATATATTTTTTATTTTTTATATAAAGTCACTACATATTCCGACCCTACTGTACTGCAGTTATGAAACTCACCATACAAGTCTGAAATGCCTCGATGTTCCCTGATGACTTGAGCAACCTTGGACGGAAGACCAAAATATGGTCCCAGCTGGAACCCTTCCTGTGAGGTCCGGGTTTTGGCTGCCTCCTCCAGTGCTGCTGCCACGGCCGCCTCTCTCCGCTCTCGCTCACTCATAACACCACCTGAAGCATGTTCATGGTAGTGTTAAATGGGGTGGTGATGATGTTAATGGGGGTGATGCTGTCGTTGTTATTTTTTTTTTTACTGGGATTAGCACACCTGGGCACAGGTCACTGACCCACATCAGGGCCTGTGGGGTGAAAATATAATAATACAGTGGTCCCACAGTTAACGAACACAATTCGTTCCAGAGGGTCGTTCGTTAACCGAATCCATTGTTTCAATGGGATTTTGGGTAATTGTTTCCAGCTCACCGAAAAGTACATACAAACTAAAAATAAATGCAGTAAAGTACACTTACTTTGAGGTGTGTATGTAGAAGGTTCCTGGTTGATGATGATGATGGGAATTAGAAGTGGGTGTGGAGAAGGGAGAAGAGAAGGAAGTGGGGTGGAAGAGAAGTCACCCCATGCTTCATGCCACCATTTCACCCATAAAATTTTAGTTCACTTGGTGTAATTCAAGATTATTTTCTTTAAATCAACACTGCATTGCATTGTATACTGTCAATATGTAAAATAAACTTCAGAATGACCAATAATTGTTCTGTAAAAACTTAAAAATAGTTTATGTTCAAGAGAGTCTCAAGCAAGAAGCTTCCTCCACAGAGCAGGGACACACAATGACGCCATTTTGGGTGTGTTGAGTGGCTGTTTGGCGCGCTAAAAACTAGTTCCCTGTACTTCAATTATGTTAAATAATTGTTAAAATGACTAAAATGACTGATAGTAGTAGGAATTGCTTTGTACTGATAGTAGTACGGTATTGTAGGAATTGTTTTGTATTGATAGTAGTACAGTATTGTAGGAATTGTTTTGTACTGATAGTACAGGTTGTACCTCTCTAGTCCGGCATTCTGTGGTCCGGAACGATTTTAGTTTGTCCAATAGGTAGATAGGCAGCTTTTTTTTTTTTACTTATCTGAATTATTATTATTATTAAAGGAGTATTAAATTTTTGCCCCTCAGGCCCCAATGTGGGTCAGTGACCTATGCCCGGGTGGGCTAATCCCCTTAAAACAAAAAAAGCCGCGGGAAATTAAGGTTTGTTTACATCCGGCAGTTCGGCTGCTCTCTCTCTCTCTCTCTCTCTCTCTCTCTCTCTCTCTCTCTCTCTGCTTGTCTATACAGAGTACAACATTTAACCCTTCAATATATATGAGCAGTAAATAAGTGTTGCTTTCATATTCTTATATAGAGTAATGACGATATATTTTCACATGTGCGCACTTACATACGAGCAGTCTCACTTTTCTTTTTTACCATTAATGGTTAGCTACTTCTATTGTTCCGTTTATTAACATTAAATAACATTACTTAAAACAACCATATTAATTTTACTACAGCTACAACCAAGGTCTTATTTTCTTCAGTTTTATATGTAGAACCAGTCAGTCACTGGTTTTGTAATCAACGAATACAATGCCGTGTCATTTACTCGTGTTTTAATATTCTACGTATTATTAATGAATTGTATTGCTCATTTTGCACACATAAACATTAATTCAATAAAAAAGACATTCAGTAATAAACAATAATGAATCTTTTGTACATAAGAAAAATGACGCTGTTTACACGATTATGCACGTCGTCTGCACGTTGGCGGGCCGTTCAAACCCGTTGAAATTCAAGTTTCCGCCGTCAAAATTTTTATTTATTTATTTTTTTGTGTGTTCCAATAAAATACGTTAAGAATTAAAAACTCGCGAAATTTGAGAAGATACTATATGACATTTAACCCTTCAATATGTCTTCAAAGAGACCATGATGCAGAGAAAGTGGTGCTAGTGCTTCCAGACATAAGCACAAGTCACTATCTATCCAGGAAAAGGGTGAATATCCATGGTCCGGCACCGGTCAGGTCCCGAGGTTGCCGGACTAGAGAGGTACAACCTGTACAGTACTGTAGGAATTGTTTTGTACTGATAGTAGCATTGTAGGAATTGTTTTGTACTGATAGTAGTACAGTATTGAAGGAATTGTTTTGTACTGATAGTGGTACAGTATTGAAGGAATTGTTTTGTACTGATAGTGGTACAGTATTGTAGGAATTGTTATGTACTGATAGTGGTACAGTATTGAAGGAATTGTTTTGTACTGATAGTGGTACAGTATTGAAGGAATTGTTTTGTACTGATAGTAGTACAGTATTGTAGGAATTGTTTTGTACTGATAGTAGTACAGTATTGTAGGAATTGTTTTGTACTGATAGTAGTACAGTAATTGTAGGAATTGTTATGTACTGATAGTAGTACAGTATTGTAGGAATTGTTTTGTACTGATAGTAGTACAGTATTGTAGGAATTGTTTTGTACTGATAGTGGTACAGTAATGTAGGAATTGTTATGTACTGATAGTAGTACAGTATTGTAGGAATTGTTTTGTACTGATAGTAGTACAGTATTGTAGGAATTGTTTTGTACTGATAGTAGTACAGTATTGTAGGGGTGTTGCTCTGCTGAATGGTGGTGCAGTGTGAGGAGGTGTTTTGTGCTGATGGTGGTGCAGTGTTAGTAGGAATTGTTATGTACTGATGGTGGTACAGTGTTAGTAGGAATTGTTTTTGTGCACAAATGAAACAGTACAGTAATTGTAGGAATTGTTTGTACTGATGAAGTGGTACCAGTATTGTAGAAGGTGTTTTGTACTGATAGTGGTACAGTGTGTAGGGTGTTTTGTACTGATGGTAGTACAGTGTGTGGGTGTTATGTGCTGATGGTGAGTGTGCAGTGTGTTAGCCAAGGAATGTTTTTGTACTGATGGTAGTACAGTATTGGCCAAGGGTGTTATGTGCTGATGATAGTGGTGCAGTATTAGGAAGGAATGTTTTTGTACTGATGGTGGTGCAATGTACTTGGGTGTTTTGCTGATGTTAGTAACAGTGTTAGTAGGAATTGTTATGTGCTGATGGTGGTGCAATTAATTGGCCAGGGGTTACATGCTGATGAGTGGTACAGTGTTAGTAGGAATTGTTATGTACTTGATGGTGGTGCAGAGAGGAATGTTTTTAATACTAGTGATGCTGATGTTAACAGGGTGTTTTGTGCTGATGGAGTGGGTACAGTGTTGGAAGGAATTGTTTGTACTGATAGTGGATACAGTGTTAGTAGGGTGTTGTTATGTATGATAATTGGTACAGTATTGGAAGAGGAATTGTTTTGTACTGATGGTAATTACAGTATTGTAGGAATTGTTTTGTACTGATAATTGAAGAATTTTAATGCAACAGGAATCGTTTTACTGATAGTAGTACAGTATTGTAGGAATTGTTTTGTACTAAATGTTAGTACAGTATTGTAGGAATGTTTTGTACTGATAGTAAGTGCAGTGTTGTAGAGGTGTTTTTGTACTTGATGGTAGTACAGTGTTAGCGGGGTGTTATGTACTGATGGTAAGTACCAGTGTTGTAAGGTGTTTTGGCTGATGGTAATTACAGTGTTAGCCAGAATTGACACTCTCCTGATAGTGGTGCAGTGATGGAGGTGTTTGTACTGATGAGTGAGGTACAGTATTGTGGGAATTGTTATGTACTGATGGTGTGTTTTAGTATTGTAGGAATTGTTATGTACTGATGAGTGGGTACTAGTGAAGGTGTTTTGTACTGATAGTGGTACAGTATTGTAAGATTGTTATGTACTGATAGTGGTACAGTATTGAAGGAATTGTTTTATTACTACTGATAGTAGTGAAGTATTAACTAGGAACTATTTATGTACTGAAATGGTAATTTAGTATTGAAATTATTTATATGATAATTGGTACAGTATTGTAGGAATTGGTATGTACTGATGGTGGTGCAGTGTTAGAAGATTGTTTGTACTGATGAGTAATTACAGTGTTGTAGGGTGTTTGTACTGATGAGTGGTACAGTGTGTGTAGGAATTGTTTTGTACTGATAGTAGTACAGTGTAGGAGTGTTTTGTACTGATGGTACAGTATTGTGGGAATTGTTTTGTACTAGTGGTAGTGATGCAATGTGTAAGGAATTGTTTTGTACTGATAGTAGTACAGTATTGTAGGAATTATTTATATACTGATGGTAGGCTGATGTTAACAAATTGTTTTTGTACTTGCTGATATTAGTACAGTATTGTGGGAATGTGTATGTACTGATAATTGGTACAGTATTGAAGAATTGTTATGTACTGATAGTGGTACAGTATTGAAGGAATTGTTTTGTACTGATAGTGGTACAGTATTATGTAAGTATTTTGTACTGATAGTGGTACAATGTGAAATTGAAGGTGTTTTGTACTGATGGTGGTACAGTGTTGAGAGGAACCGTTTTGTACTGATGGTGGGTACAGTATTAAACTTTAAAGGTGTTATACTGCTGATAGTAGTACAGTATTGGCCAAGATTGTTTTTGTACTGATAGTAGTACAGTATTGTAGGAATTGTTATGTACTGATAGTAGTACAGTATTGTAGGTGTTTTGTACTGATGGTAGTACAGTGTTAATAGGAATTGTTATGTGTACTGATAGTGGTGTTACAGTATTGAGAAGGAATTGTTATGTACTGATAATAGTGGTACAGTAGTGAAGGAATGTGTTTGTACTGATAGTGGTACAGTATTAGCCAAGATTGTTTGTACTGATAATTGGGCTTGCAGTATTGGAAGGAATTGTTTTGTACTGATAGTGGTACAGTATTGAAGGAAGGAATTGTTTTATGCGGGATAGTGGTACAGTATTGGCAAGGTGTGTATGATGGTAATTGCAGTATTGTAGGGTGTTTTGTACTGATGGTAAGTACAGTGTTAGCCAAGGTGTTTTGTACTGATGAAATGGGTACAGTGTTGTAGGGATGTTATGTACTGAGTAGTAGTACAGTATTGTGGGAATTGTTTTTTGTACTAGTGGTAAGTACAGTGTTAAGGTGTTTTGTACTGATGAGTAGTACAGTATTGTAGGGTGTTTTGTACTGATGATGGTACAGTATTGTAGGAGTGTTTATGCTAGAGTAGTACAGTATTATGTAGGAATGTTTTGTACTGATAGT